TCAGACACTAGGGGAAAAATTAAAACTGTATTTGTTATATCACAATTTCCAGATGCTTCCTGTAGGTGCCAGTGATATCACTGGGTCTACCAGCTTACCCACTAGAACCAGCTTACCCAAGATCTCACCTATGCACCACAGGTAGGACCAAGAGCTTAGGGTAAGTATATCTTTAATTTTTTTTAAAGTTATGTTTGTTATTTTTTTACATTTAAAAATGTATCTGTATCTGTACCTTTGGGGAAGAAGCAGTTGTTACCAACGACACCTTTGGGAGTAGCGCTACATATTCTATATAATAGGCAAGAAGATCTTGCATTTAATATTCAGATAGGATTTCACAATGCTCTGACATGTCCGCATCGTTAAGTGCCTAGCCTGGTAAAAAAAAAAAGAAAACTCACTGTCCATTTCGGCAATGTCATTATACAAATGACTTCCTAATGGAAACTCACCTTTGCTATTTTTTTCAATTAAATTTGTAGCCCTTTGCCTAAATAAATCCTGAGTATAAAATGTGTGTTATTTACTGGAGAAAAAAGCAGGAGCAATCCAGTTACATCAGGGGCCATATGTTTGATTTGGCTAACAGGTCATGTATTAGCAGGAAGCCTGGTTGTTTCCAGTAAAGGCGATGCTCACATGTATGTTTAATTAGCATGTTTGTTTTGAGCATATATTCCGGTTAAGACACAGGCTGCTGTGTGCTTGCCATTGACCCAGAAACTAGTGAATGCTTTGAACCTTGTCCCTTCAATATTTGGGATTTTTCTGCATGGTCACCTCTGCTGGTCACTCTGCTCTGATGACTTAGAAATGAACATAACATGTATTAAAGCATTTACTGTACAGTATTTTCTAAGAGGAATGACTAGTATAGCAGATTTGTCATGGCAGGACAGTATTTTCTTATTTTATGCCCAAAGGACTTTTCACGTTTAAAAATATTTTACAGGCAAGGTCATAGGGTCTGTATACTTACTCCCACACAAGCAAATATATAAATGTGTGCCTAGGACAAAATACAAACAGTTCAACATTCAGTTATGAGCAAGTCCAGGCCATCTTGATTAATTTCACTATTACATATATTTGGCCTCAGTCCTTTCTGCAAGGCAAGACTTGTATAATGAACTATACTTTGCAAATTTCTCTCTGAAACTTTTAGAGGGCATTATTGTATACAGCAGTGTTTCTCAACCTTTTTTTCAGTTAAGGCACCCTTTAAAACTATTGACAATCTCAAGGCATCCCTTAAAATGGTGGACAGCCTTAAGGCACTCCATTCTAAAATGTAAAAAAACTATTCTAATAGTTTTACATAATGCATCAACATCCACACACGTACAACACCCAACGTTACAGGTGATTTATTCTTCCAAATCAAATACAATTTTGTACACTGGTACTGACTAGTGTTCCAATGTTTCTCTTCTCCTTAGGTTTTTCTGCATCACTCAGCTAATGTGACCCCAGAACTGATAGAAAGGGGGAGGAGTGAGGCAAACTAGGATGTTGTGCAGACAACCGACATCCTCCTTATCAACTGATGATGTAATTGATTGTTGGGATGCTGGCGGCTAGAAGGTTGTAATGGTGCATAATGAAAACCTGTGGCTTTCTGTAACTAAAAGGCAGGCTTGATCCACCTACTGGCTTGTATCCAATTTTTAGCAATTTTTATGTTATTGCCAAGGCACCCCTGAAGATACCTCAATGCACCCCAGGGTACCTGCGCACCCTGCTCGAAAAAGACTGGTATACAGTCAGAGCTGTATCTTTTTAAAATCATTTCAATGGACATACATTTTTCTGTAAACAAGCTTGGCACATGCAACCAGATATTTTTTTTTTTGTTATTCCGATCTATACTTTTAGTATTTTGAATACTGCTATAAAATACATTTTAGTTTGCAGGATTTATATAATATACACACATGCTACAAAGTCCATCCAATTACTGATAAGCAGGAAATTATTTTATTACTAATTGCTCACTCTAAGCTGCTCAAATATCTCATATTTTGGAGAACAATAGCCAATCTTTCAAAATCTCCACTTCATTTATAGCTAGGGTCAATCTTTACTTGATAATATAAAATTTGGATTGATTTTTATGGATTCAGATGACCAGATCCAATGTGAATTTAATTTTTTTGGATGGTTTAGATCTCCAAGATGCTTTTGGGAGAAAGGAATTGGAGGCTGCTTCAAAGTCTGTTTCTGCTTTTGCTGTTGCCTAAGCACCCTTAGCTTAAATGCAGGTGTCATCATGTCCCCCCCTTCTAATCCAGAGTAGTAGATTCAAGGTTTTTTTTTTTTGGCCTTATCATCTCATCAGACAGGCTGACAGGAGCTTCCTAAGGCAGGCCATACATGATGTGATTTTCTTTTTTTCAGCAACCACGGTCAGTGTTGATGGGGGAATTCCTCTTGCAAAGCTATTGTGTTCTCCGGGGGGGAGCCATCCCTAACAGCAGAACACAGTCATTACTGGTAGCAGCTATAAACAGCCGCTAGCAATAATTGCATGAAAAATCCAACATGCTGGTTGTACCCAAGTCGTACAACAACCGACTTGGGTACAATCAGACTTACCATAGATGGTGTGAATTCTGGGTGGTCCCTGCTGAACCAGCCAGGATTAAAACCCACTATGGCTGGCTTAAACCATTCTGCAAAATTGGGAATCCCTTGCTGCTCTGTCATACACACTTTTTTAGAGACTAATCTGAGTAAACATTGATTTCAACAGGGCATCAGAAATATTGCATTCCAGAGGTGAGCATAGTTTAGCTGAGCACAACTGATCAAGCTTTTCAAAAGTTTGCTAATATCTACTCATAGCCCACAACCCTGAATGACAGTTGTAATGGAACCGGACCCAGACTGCACTTGGGTATTTCCGTTAAAATCCCGCTTCTCTGTTCGAACACAGATCCATGGACACCACCGCTGACCAAACAGGACGAAACAGCACCAGACTTGTATATAAGACAGGAAATAGACTGCTTTATTTTAACATAGACACAAGATATATACACAGGGTGGGGCAATACACCCAGTAAGAGGAAACACATCAGCAGGCCGCCCCATCAGGGGGAAGGGCTGCCGGAAACATTACATCCCATAATAGTTTGCTCTCAAGCAAGACACACAATAGAACAATGGGATGCACCACATGGCAGTGAACAATGAACAACCCCCCACCCCAACAGAACATTCCACCTTGTACCCCTAAGAGGCACAGGGTGACTTATACATAAGAGGGATATGGGGAGCTGAGACAGGGGTCTCCCCACCCCTCAAAGTCACTCACATCACAACAGTCACCAAAATAGGATTTTATTTTAAGTTTGCCAGATTAGATCAAGAGACACTTAATGATTGGAGGCTGTTTTTTACAAACTTTGTAATTTTTTTTTCTAGTGTCTCTAACAAGATACCAAAACTGCTTTGCTAGGTTTGTTGATATGTATTTGGCTTGACTTGAGAATACCCAGAGCTGCTGTTAGAAATCACGCGGCCTTGTACAGACTACCTGGGGGCCCCCCAAAATATCAAAATATATTTTCACTAAAAATACACTAATATCATTATTAGTTGACACAAATAATACAACAAAGTTCTGTATTCTGCATGTGAGTGAGGTATTGGATCTCACATGAGGGACTGTACTGTGTAAATCAGCGGCTTGTTTATGTGATTTGAGCCGCATGGAGTTGTGTGTAGGCAGACTTTGCTACTCTATGGAGATGCAGCAGCTGCATAAACACAGGCACAGGTCTAATTTCACAGGCAAGTGGGTGCAGGTGTACAGCCCTGAACAAATATAGTGTGCATTCAGGGCCACTCACCCACACCTACACACTTGCCATATTATGACCTGTGGCTGTGTTCATGCAGCTGCTGCATCCCATAAGGCTTTATGTACAAGAGCAGCTCCTAAACTCAAGTTTTAGGAGCTTTTCGCATTTTTTTGCCAAAGCTCCTAAACTCAACTCCATAAAAGCCTATGAGTCCATGTATACATAGGCTTTTAGCAGAGTTTAGGAGCTGCTGGAGGAATCGTGTTCAGGGTAGGAACGTTTTGGCCGCCCATGGGAAAATGCAAAATGCAGAAAAAACGCCGCAAAATGTGACTACCACAGTACCACATTTTTTGCGGCATTTTGTGTTTTTCCATGGCTGGCGGTCCGTGTAGGTTCATTTACATGAAGCCTTAGAGCAGTGGTTCTCAACCTTTCTAATGCCGCGACCCCTTAATACAGTTCCTCATGTTGTGGTGACCCCCAACCATAAAATTATTTTCGTTGCTACTTCATAACTGTAATTTTGCAGTGGGGGGGGGGAAATAGTGCCCCATCGTTGGTGTCAGTGGGGGGAGGAATAGTGCCCCATCGTTGGTGTCAGTGGGGGGGGGGGAATAGTGCCCCATCGTTGGTGTCAGTGGGGGGGGGGGGAATAGTGCCCCATCGTTGGTGTCAGTGGGGGGGGGGGAATAGTGCCCCATCGTTGGTGTCAGTGGGGGGGGGGGAGTAGTGCCCCATCGTTGGTGTCAGTGGGGGGGGGAATAGTGCCCCATCGTTGGTGTCAGTGGGGGGGGGAATAGTGCCCCATCGTTGGTGTCAGTGGGGGGGGGAATAGTGCCCCATCGTTGGTGTCAGTGGGGGGGGGAATAGTGCCCCATCGTTGGTGTCAGTGGGGGGGGGGGGGAATAGTGCCCCATCGTTGGTGTCAGTGGGGGGGGGGAATAGTGCCCCATCGTTGGTGTCAGTGGGGGGGGGGAATAGTGCCCCATCGTTGGTGTCAGTGGGGGGGGGGATAGTGCCCCATCGTTGGTGTCAGTGGGGGGGGGGGAATAGTGCCCCATCGTTGGTGTCAGTGGGGGGAGGAATAGTGCCCCATCGTTGGTGTCAGTGGGGGGAGGAATAGTGCCCCATCGTTGGTGTCAGTGGGGGGAGGAATAGTGCCCCATCGTTGGTGTCAGTGGGGGGAGGAATAGTGCCCCATCATTGGTAATAGTGACACCAATGATTGGGCACTATTCCTCCCACTGACACCAACGATGGGGCACTATTCCTCCCACTGACACCAATGATGGGGCACTATTCCTCCCACTGACACCAATGATGGGGCACTATTCCTCCCACTGACACCAATGATTGGGCACTATTCCTCCCACTGACACCAACGATGGGGCACTATTCCTCCCACTGACACCAATGATGGGGCACTATTCCTCCCACTGACACCAATGATTGGGCACTATTCCTCCCACTGACACCAATGATACTTACCTTGCTGACCCCTGCTCCAGCCTGGGCTCGCTCCCTCCCTCTCCCATGGTACAAACACTTACCGGTCAGATGTCTTCCTTCTCCGGCCGCTTTCCTCCTCTTCACTCGCTCGTGCTTCGCGGTGCCGCTCGGCTCCTCCTTTCCAAGCTCCACCTCCTCGCCGGTGATTGGCCGCCTGTGTGCCTCTCTTGAGCTACAGTTCCGGCGGCCAATCACCGACGAGGAAGGATTGATCCCGGGGGTGTGTCCAGATGACAGGGACGGCATGTCATCCCGCCCACACCTGCAGACGGATCAAGGAGCGGTGTCTCGGTTCCTAAGGCCATCGGAAATATGTGTTTTCCGATGGTCTTAGGCGACCCCTGGGAAAGTGTCGTTCGACCCCCAAAGGGGTCGCGACCCCCAGGTTGAGAACCGCTGCCTTAGAGTAACAGGTAGCTACAGCCACATGAACAATCCTTTCATTCACATGGCCAGAGTACTTGCCCTTAGGACTCATTCACGTGTGAGGTTGTGGACAGTAAGAACCCCATGGTTGAGCTCCGCATTTACTGCCCACCAGCCACTACCCCCTGATAGAGGTTCAGACATGGCAAGGCCAAAATTCTACATTTCACAGCCATGGCAGAAATTCTAGAGAACAAAGTATATATGGACAAGCCGTTATTTTTGTTTTTAATTATTTTTTTATTTTATTTTTGCATTTTTTTTAGAGTTGCTTTATTTATTTATTTAAAAAAAAAATTTTTAACTGCACTGCTGGGGAGGCTTTGGTGAAATATCAGGGGTCTAAACAGACACCAGATGTCTGACATTTGGCACTGGGGACAGAAATTCATCGGTCCCCTTCTCTACAGCCTCAGCTGCACAGGATGAATAGGAAGTGGTCTGATGCTTCCTGTTTATTCACAAACAGAAGCATAGTAAAAAACAGTTTATCATGCTTCAGTGATGAAGGGACACAGGAGCGATCTGTATTGATCACTCGCTGTGTTTATTCAGAAAAGGAAGGGGCTGGTAAATATGACATATTTAATGGCCCACTCCCCCTTCTCCCACTCTTCATCCTAAAACATTCCCCTGTGTGCCCGCAGCAGCTTCTGGTGGGAGAGAAGAGGGAAACCATCAGTGCTGCAGGGAAGCGGGCACACAGTGGGGCCCTGACAGCAGGGGAATGAGGGCGCAAGTGGTAGAACTGATCTCCATGTGTTCCGCCCCCTGGAGGAGGAACAAGAGGATCAATGTCAGCAATAAGATAGTACAGCTGGCCAGGTGTCTTGGCCCCCCTTTTGAACTGATAGGGCCTGGCCTGGTACAGGATGTGCTGACAGACATTATGTCTATTGACATTATTTCTTAGACTGAGCAACCTACTTTAAATAACAGTCTTAAAATGCATGATTTAAGGCTCTTTACCTGTAAGGTTCTTCAGTCACCAGGTCATAGTCATTTGAGATGAAGGTAGGTGGCATTACGTAGTACATAGAGTTTTTATTAGAATGGTAGAAATGATTCAATCAGTAATGTGTAATAATAATCAGCCTGCAATATACTCCAGAAATAAACATTTTCCATAGGTATTTTGTTTCCAATTGAAGATATGAAATAACCATGCAGTACATACATCAACAAATGCATTTACCACAAAAGAAAACTAAATATGCCCTGCAAACAGAAATGATTACGCATGTCACGATTTAAATATCCCTTTAAATGCATAAAACAGAGTTTTGTCATTGTGAAGAAAAAAAAAAAGCTGGCAAAAAATCCTGCTAATGTTCTCTGGAAAACATTACTAAGTAACCTTCCACTAATTCAGCAATGTTGGATGACTCATTACCACATTTATGTGAACAAATCCTCAAAACTCGTGCATAAAGACAAAGACTCTCATACTAGAACAAAGACAGCAGACTAATCAACATGTTGTCTATAATCACGTCTATACCCTCAATGCTTATGTTGTAAAATAAAAATCTGTTAAATATCCATGGCAAAATATATGATGAAAACTGAGCTAACGTGGAAAATGCATGTAAATGCATGTTAAAAAAACAACACACAAAACATCACAGCAGAATGCATACTAACATAAAATCGATCATGTACAGCAGAGCCCTTAAGCCAAAATCAAGGAATTTGGGTTGTGTCAGCTGCTGTGAAACGGGCGGTCCAGTTGCTGTTTATATCTTTAGGGACATGGAGTTCCTCGGAAGCCAGCAAACCACAGGATCCAAAGCCTTAGCTTAAAGTTCTTACGCACAAAATTAAAGAGCTTTTACATTTTCATTAACAAAGTGGAAAACCCCTTCAGTGAGCTGCATAATATTCAGAGGCACTTCCCAGATCTCGCCATTCATACAGCCATGGCACTGACACTTTTGAGCTTCCAAGATGTTTAATACTCTGCTCTAGACCTATCCCATAAGCTTTGGACAGACAGATAATCCACCACTCTGAATGTGCAGTAAATGACCGGAGGGAGACAGTTTGGGCAGTGAAATGGTCCCTGAGTGAGAACAACAGGCATCCCAAGTAAAGGAAAGTGATTGGAAATATGTTGATGTTGCCCATGAACAAGTGCAGTCTGCAATCAGTCAGGGCTCCCATGTAGATAACGTTCTGTAGATGCAATAGGGTTAATTCACCAAATACAAATAGACTGTTCACTTTCCAAGGGAATTTTCAATTTGCAAGGCAATTTGCCCCTGGGCTTAGCAAATATGCTGAATCACACTTTGCAAAGAATACACGATCACAAGTAAAAAAAAATAAAAACACACTCCAAAGACATGCTGGTAGGTTACTTGGACCCTGTCTAAATTGGCCCTAGTATGTGTATGTATGAATGTAAGTTAGGGACCTTAGATTGTACTCCATTTGAGGGTTAGGGACTGATGTAAATGTGCAATATACAGTATACGTAAAGCACTGCGTAAATTGACGGCGCTATATAAGCACCTATAATAAATAAATAATAAATAAATTTCCTTCTAAAGTGCAACTTCTCTTGTAAAGTGGTATGCAGCCATGAAATGGTGTTCAGACAGGCAGAGAGCCTGCACACAAGATGGGCAACTAAATAATCAGGAGGCTTGGTGTTGTGGCTGTAAAAAGCTGAAACTAACCACCATAAGGGTAAATCCTGTGGGAAATTACAGGGCAAAAAGCCCTGAATCAGACTCTGGTGGTCAGACTGGCTCATTTCAAGCTTCCCATTTAAGCTAAATGTTACAGCTTTTAGTTAGAAAGGATTGCATGTTACTAAATGCCCAATTGCAATTTGCTATCTGTCCTGAACATTTTACGTATTCTAAACTAGCAGTGAAAGCATTTTCAAACAAGCTCTTATTCAGCTATGTATATAAGCATTGTGGAGAAATTCATTCACAAAGTTCACAGCATAGTCATTGAAATGTTAATCTTTTTCTACAGCATGAGAACAGATACTTGGCGGACTGTCAGCTTTCTAATGGAAACAAATGGCAGATGTGTTTAAGCTGTTAGCAATCAATTGAAATCTGGAATTAGAGTCTTTGTTGTGATCTTTGAGGATCTTTGTGACATAATAACTTCACTCACCTTCTAGAGAGGTGAGTAGGGGCTTGTTTTAAAGTTTTTTTCTCAACAATTCTTTATTAAGAATTTTTGCAAAAAGTACAAAGTAAAGTACAAGATACAAGACAAAGAGAGGCGGTATGCATAAAAGGGCCTCACCTAAAATAAATACAATTAATCAGGAATAATGCCAGAGATTAACAAATATAGGTGGTAACCAAATGCATTTGCATAAAAACGCCTCACATCTAGAGACAAAAAGTGCACTTACCTCTCCATGATAAGTAATAACAAGAACTAAAGTGTAGGGAAAATAGGGGAAAAAGGCAAATTAAAGGGGGAACAAAAAAGAAAACATACCAGAGAGCATCAATCAGATATACAAGAATTATCCAGACCATATGGCTAGTCAATACATTGAAGGTAAGTGATTGTTCAAGGTTTTTCATGCAATTAGGAATATCCAACTATATAGACCAGAATTCTTTGAACCAGGATGTAGACAGATTTTTAATGGCTAGAAGACTCTCCCATGTGGCACTGGTGATTCAGAGTTTATAATGTGTCCCTATGCGTCCCTGTATGGGAGTACCGGTATTTCCAAAGTTTAGTAATGTGCAGTTTGGCCACCAAGAAAAGATGGAGAAGCACCACCCTAACTTAGGGAGGAAATCAATCAATCCCTAAATGTAATATTACAAGGGAAGAATTGGGCTCTAACATAGCCCCTACAGGGTCAGATACTAAGGGGAAAAAAATGTATTCCAATATGGGCAGCACAATGGTTAACTGGTTAGCACTTCTACCTAGCAGCACTAGGATTGTTGGTTTGATTCTCAACCATGACACAATCTGGGGTTTGCATGTTCTCCCTGTGCTTGTGTGGGGATACTGTGGTTTCCTCCCACATTTCACAGACATGCTTGTAGTTTAATTGGTCCCTGTCTAAATTGGCCCTAGTATGTATGAAGTTAGGGACCTTAGATTGTAAGCTTCTTAAAGGCAGGGCCTGATGTGAATGTACAAATATATATGTAACGCGTTAATTCAGATTCAGAATACTTTGTTAATCCCAAAGAGAAATTACTAAACTGATGGCACTATATAAGTACCTGTAATAATTAAATATGAGTGCAGGGATTTACATTTCCAGAAAATGTGTAATTTAGAGCCAGTGTCTCCACCCAGCATTGAAGAGACTGTGATGGATACATTTTAAAAAAAAGATGAAAAGGAGTAAGGTACTATCTGTGGGCCACCTTTTGATACATTTCCTAGTGGTTTGTACAGCTGGATGGCCAGTAGGTAATATTGATAACTTTCTACCAGTAATGGTTGGGGAATGTCTGAGAGAGTTCTGATTCCCACTTAAAAGGCAAAAGGGGAAGTTCTGCTTTAAGATTTCCTCTCCCCGTCTTCCTCAAATGGCACTTTTTTGAGGGGGGCAGGAGTGGTACCTGATTTTGACAGGTATCTGCTCCCACTTTCACTCGGATCACCTAGGCAATCTGACCAGAAGTTCTCCTCTCATTCATCACAGTCACCTGGGACACGTGACAGGTCTCAGAAGACTGTGGGACCATTCACAATGCACAGCAGAACTCGGGCATGCGCAGTAGGCTGCAAGCTGTCACAGCTGTGTGCCCACATTTAGGATGCCGGCACCAGGGACAGAAGACAGAGGAAAGGGACAGCTCAGGTGAGCACATCGCTGGATCCTGGGGAAGGTGGGTGTGTGTTTATTGAAAGTCAGCAGCTACAG